GTTACTACGTGGGAGGTTGGAAAATCAGGTGAGAAGCAAACCCCCTTCAAGATGGAAAATGCTTGGTTTGAATAGAAAGAATTGGTTCCTCTGCTTATGTCAAAATGGGCAGATTTTCAAGTGGAGGGTACCAGCTCTTTCATCATGGCTAAAAAATCAAAGGAATCAAAGAGGTGCTGAAATCTTGGAAAGTGGACTGTCAAGGAAAAACTGAAGCGGAGAAGAGTAAGTGCCTAGAGGTAATAAAAGAGCTGGATTCGGCTGAAGAAGTGGGACCCCTTAGAGAGGAAGAGACTTTTGGCCAAAGTGACTTTGGATTCTATAGCATACAAGGAGGCGTTAAAGTGGCGGCAAAGAGCGTAGGTTAAGTGGCTTAAAGCGGGGGATAAGAACTCCAGTTTCTTTCACAAAATGGCCAAAGCAAGGAAAAGAGTAAATCAAATTGAGAAACTTGAATGGGGAGGGCAAGTGGGTGAAGAATGGACAGAAATGAAACACATTTCCACTAATTTTTTCTCGGAGTTGTTCAAAGAAAACTGGGTAAGGAGTTCTTTTCCAGAAGATCTTAATTTCAAAAGTCTTTCTGTGGATCAGCAAATGGAGTTAGAAGCTCCCTTCACAGAAAATGAAATATTGCAGGTAATTAAAAATTTGGGAACTAAGAAATCTCTGGGGCCAGATGGTTTAACTAACATCTTTTATAAACAGTGCTGGGAGGGGGTGAAAGGGGATCTGCTGAAGGTGTTCCATGACTTTCACCAAAATGGCTCATTGGTTAGAAGTCTGAACAGCAGCTTCATCTCTCTTATACCTAATGTGGAAGGTGCAACCAACATCAAAGATTTCAGACCAATTAGTTTGCTGAACAGTTTCTATAAAATTCTATCCAAAGTACTAGCAGAAAGAATGAAGAAGGTCTTCAGTGTGATCATTGAGAAGAATCAGCTTGCTTTTGTGCCGGGTAGACAAATGTTGGACAGTGTGCTGGTGGCAAATGAGCTGATTGACTCAAGAATAAGAGAAGGTAAACCAGGGCTGCTATGTAAGGTGGATTTGGAAAAGGCGTATCATGTATGATCATGTAAACTGGAAGTGTTTGGACTTGGTGCTAAAGAAAATGAACTTCGGGCAGAAATGGAGGAATTGGATTAAGGTATGTATTTCCTCTCCAAAGTTCTCAGTTTTGCTTAATGGGCAATCTACGGGCTTCTTCAAAAGTTCTAGAGGTTTGAGACAAGGGGATCCTCTCCCTGCTTCTGTTTATTTGCGCAATGGAAGTTCTAACTCTATTTGTGCAGAAAGTGGGGGATGAGGGTATATAGAATGGTTTTGATGTCTCTCCGGGTGGGGAAAGTGTTCAGATCCTTCAGTTTGCTGATGATACTCTGTGCTTCATTGATGCGGAAGTTGATCAACTAGAGATTCTCATAGAGGTGCTCAGTTGGTTTGAAGTGGTCTCGGGTTTGAGAGCCAATTGGACTAAGAGCAGACTGATTCTGGTGGGAAAAGTGGTGAATCTTGAAGAGCTCATAGAAGTTTTACCTGGTCAGATTGGATATTTGCCTATTTCCTATCTTGGCCTCCCTCTTGGAGCTAAATGTATCTCTGCGGTGGTGTGGGATCCGGTGGTAGGGAGAGTGGAGAGGTAGCTTACTTCTTGGAAATTCAAATATCTGTCACTGGGGGGCAGAATCACATTATTAAAAGGCTCTCTCTCTAATCTTCTTGCCTATTTTCTATCTTTATTTCCAATTCCAGTCAAAGTAGCCCAAAGAATTGAGAAAATCCAGAGAGACTACCTTTGGAGGGGTTGGGAGGAGGAAAAGAAATTATATCTGGGTAACTGGGATCAGGTATGTGGTCCTAAGGAGAAAAGGGGTTTGGGGATCAGGAAATTAAAGTTGTTTAATAAAGCTCTTTTGGGAAAATGGATTTGGAGATTTGAGAAAGAAGAAGACAGATGGTGGAGGAAATTAATTGCAGCAAAATATGATACTGACAGTGGGGACTGGTTAAACACTAATCAGTTCAACTCATTAGGTTGCTCCCTGTTGAAGAAAGTTATGGAAATTCTCCCTTGGATTAGCAGTGGATTGTCTCCAAAGGTGGGGAATGGGAATAGGCTGCAGTTCTAGAAGGATACTTGGTGTGATAGTAGACCTCTTTCTGAAGTTTTCCCTCAGCTGTTTCAGATTGCAGAAAATCAGAATGGTTCGGTGGCTAGTCAGTTTGAAGTGAGTGGGGGTACTATTACTTGGAGCCCTTCACTTAGAAGGTCACTTCAGGACTGGGAAATTGAGAAAGTTGCAGATCTCTTGGGGTTGCTGTACAGGCAGTCCATAGATTTGTCGTCTGAGGACTCTTGGACTTGGAAGTATAGTACGGGTGGTATTTTCTCTGTTAGTTCTTTTGCTGGGGTTCTGAATGGAGCAATTCAACCAAAACTTCCGGCTGAGAAAATTTGGAACCCTTCTGTGCCCTCAAAAGTGAATGCTTTGGTTTGGGCAGCGGTTCTGAATAGATGTCTTATGAAAGATTCCCTGGTTAGGAGGGGTGTGCAGATTCAGGACCTGCTGTTTGTTCTATGTGGTCAAGTGGCTGAGGATGGCAAGCATCTGTTCATTCACTGTTTTGTTACAGATGCAATCTGGAATCACTTTCTTTCGGGATTGGGGCTTCTATGGTGCATGCTATGTTCTGTTTTGGATATGCTATGGAATTGGAAGCTTAAGGGTGGTTCAAAGTTGGCGAGGTGAATTTGGAGTGTCCTGCATGCAGCCATTTTGTGCACAGTCTGGACTGAAAGAAACAGAAGAATCTTTCAAAATAAGGCTTCTAATATAGATTGCTTGATTGCCTTTTCTTTCGGCAAACTCATTTCCTGGGTGGCTGCGGCTAAGGGCCTTCAAGCTTCTGTCCTCTGTTCTCAGTTGAGATCCAGGGACTTCCTTGAGTTATGATGTATTGTAGGTGGTTTAGTGTGTTTGGCTCCTTGTCTTGGGGGCTTTGGTTGTAATCTGTCTTATCAGGTGCTCCATGAATAAAATTTTACCTTTTCTCAAAAAAGAAAGCCTATTTAGACTAAAAAGCACTCCCAAACGCGGCATTAGATGGCTGTCTCCAAGCAAGCTGGGTATTATGACCTAGTAAAAGGGCCAACCTCTTCTAGTTAAGGTTGCAACTTGGGCCAAGTTAGCCCGAATCCAACCTGATAAATTTGGGTTGGGTTGAATTTTGGGTTAGGGTAAGGGTTGAGGCATTGACCTATATCGGCCCAACCTAACTTAATATTTGTATGTAAAAATATTATATTAACATTTAAATATGCAAGTAGTTATGTATATATGTATCTATGCATGTGGCATGTATATATATGTGCAACTATACATCCATAAATGTATGATGTATTTTTGTATCTATCTATCTATCCATATGAATGTGTTCCTTAACTTTAAAGGAAATAATTCCAAACTGAATTAACCTCAGCCCTTGAGTCTAGGAAATAAGAACATTCAGCAAAAGAAAGTAGAAAAGTTGGGCCAACCTGAACCAAACCTGAAAGTTTAGGGTTGGGTTAGGGTTGAGGGTTCTACAGCTCGGGTTGGGTTTACAAACTTAACCCAGGCCAACTTGCATCCGTACTCCTAGTGTTTTGAAGCATGCATAAAAGAGGCCACCAATCATATGCTTGTGCCTCTTCCCACAAAAGCATAAAAGAGAGAAAGGGAAATTCTCTTAGAGTCAAACTTTTTGGTCTTGTGCAAGGCCATAAACTGATTTATTCTCTGGGATAAAGCAACCTGAAAATAGGTGGCTGTCAAGTGGTTGTAAGTTGGACGCCCATCCCTAAGGAAGACCCATGGTCTCTTACATTTTTGTTTGGGGAGCCAGACTGGTGGAGTCTTTAGCAGTCATATTGAATTGCTTATTTAGGTGGATTATACATTCAACAAATGGCTTAGTAGACTCCTCATGAAAGAGGGGTGGGGGGGTGGAAAGACATATTTTAGAATGGTGGGTTCCAGTCCCATGGATTCACCATCATGGCTAATATTTTTTCGGATGATTAATGAGGTGATTATGTTGTTTGGTACTGTTTTGTTGTTGTGCTTATTGATTGTATCTTAGACGAGGTTTAAAATGCCTGTCGGTGGAAACATCAGTTACCCAAATATAGGATACTTGTCAGAAATGTTGTAAATGTTGTATGGAAATATTCTAAAAATTATATACATGGGGAATTATGTAATGGTAAAAGATGCATGGTAGACCCTTTTAAATTATTATCTTGCTCCACATCATCAAAACTACATTATAGTGCAAGTTCAAGGAAAATTTAAATTTGTAGAAAGTGCAAATGATTCTAATAGATAAACCAAATAATTTATTATACATTAAAAACCAAGATTTGACTGCATGTTTAAAAAGAACTCTGAACCAACTTATGTATGCTCCACATTATCTAAAGTATTGCCACCAACTTATGTAGTTACATTATAATACTATCTCTTGTACCCACATAGCACCGGTAGCTTTCATTGGAGAATATGTCAATTCCAATAATACTTCATGTTGGCATCCATGGAACTCAAAATATGTTGTGGAAATATTAGGAAAATTTGGACATTTTTAACCATGATCTTAGACATGGTCCCTTGCTATTAAACTCCCTTAGTAGCAAGCTTGCCTCTCTTTATGCTACACATTGATGAAGCATCTGATCACTGTTATTGATAAGAAAATAAGAAAAAAAGGGCTAATGAACTATTGACATGATTAGTAATAATTATTATTGTTTTGATTATGAATATATTGAATGTTCTTTCTTAATGTATTGTTCTATTTCTAAATTTGGATGCAATTGTATAGAGACATCATGTGTTATCGTTTCCTGCTAAAATCCTAGTTGGAGTATATGCATGTTGCCTGATGATTAAAATCTACCTATCGGAATGTTGTATCTAAACAATATGAATTGATTTTTCTCTCTCTTTTGGTAGGATACTAATGCAATTAAGGGGAATACGCTGGCGCTTACAGATCATGTGATTGTTCCTGCCAGTGCAATTTCAGCAGCAATAAAAGAACTTAAGGGTGAAGAGATTGGACAAAATGACCCCCTAATCATCACTCAAGCTTCATCTTTAAGTAATCCTTCTTTACATCTTGACTAGTATTTCTTTTCATTTTCTTTCCTTCTTTGCAATTCATCACTTGAACATAGTTCCTACTTACTCTTTTTCTTGGAAGAATGCCAAATTGATCTTATTTTGGTCAAATCCCTATGTCTTGGTGGCGTACTGTCTATATAACTTTTTTTTTTAAACTGTAAGGTGAAGTATTTCATTAATATTCTTTAAAACCATACGACTATGCAGACCCCTGTACAAGGAGAATCTGTACAAGAGGAAATAAACCAGTATACCCAACAATCAGCCCCACCAAAATTATGAACTCCTAATAGAAAGGAAATCCTGATCAGAAAAGGAACATGTTTGTCTATTTTTGAATAACGGGTGGTTTTCCAGCCATGAATGTATCATTCCTGAAATCCTTTTAAACACCTCTTCTTTTGAACTTTGTCTGTCTTAAAAAATTCTGTTGTTTCTTTCACTCCACACTGCCCAAAAAACTGCTGAAGGGAGGATGTTCCAAGCTAATTTTCCAGCCCTGCTTAATCCATTTACATACCAAGCTCCAATGAATCCCTTCACATTAGCCGGGAAGCACATCTGAATCCCAAACAAACTCATCATTCTTGTCCAAATCTAGTAAGTGAATTCGCAATGAAATAACAAATGACTAGAAGATACTACACAACTGTTACAAAGAGTGCAAACCATATCTGTCACCTCCACACCTCTCCTAACTAAATTGTCCTTTGTTAGGATCTTATCCAGCACTGCAGACCAAACAAAAAAAGCCAGTTTGGAAGGAAAAGACCTTACCCAAATCCTGTTGCTTGGAAAGGATGAAGTGTCCTCCCCTAACAAGTTGTTGTAAAAAAGATTCTACAGAGATGTTCCTGATTTCTCAAATAACAATTTTCTTTTGTCTTCCCCTACTCCAGCTGTACTTGAGTCATAAAGAATCTGGAGCAGACTGACCAAGGAAGTCACCTCCCAATCATTTAGGTTCCACCTGAATTGGGGGTTCTAAATGCAAAGCCCATTTTGCCTCTAGGTAATCCGCCACTGGTGCATCTTTATTAGTCACAATCTCGAACAGGTCTGGGAATAGAACCCTTAGTGGACCATTCCCACACCAGTAACCCTTCCAAAAAGACACTCTCCCCATTTCCAACTTCATACTTTATTCCCTTCATAAATTGAGAATTGAGTCTCTGTATTGCCTTCCAAACTGAACACCCATACGCTGATTTTACTTCATCTGTTTCCCACTCCCTGCTGCTGGAGCCATACTTAGTTACGATTAATTTCCTCCATAGAGTGTCCGGTTGTTCATTGAATCTTCACAACCACTTCCCTAACAAAGCATTGTTGACCTGTTTTACTGATCTGATCCCCAAACCCCCATTTGGTCTGGAACAGCAAACTTTTTTCCTACTCACCAGATGGCATTTTGACTCCTTCCACCCCCTCCATAGAAAGTCTCTCATCTTTCTTTCAACACTGCAACCCTATTTGCCGAAATTGGGAATAAAGACAAGTAATAAACTGGAAGGGAGGATAATACACTTCTAATTAGTGTGACTTTACCCCCTTTTGATAAGTATTTGGTTTTCCAAGAGGTCAACTTTCTATCCACTTTTTCAATGACGAACTCCCAAATGGAGTTAAATTTGCAATTTTCACCCAGAGGCATACCCAAGTACTTTGTTGGAAGATTACCATCAATGCAGCCCCAACTAGCAGCCCATGCTTCCAAGTTTTCAACATTTCTGACTGCCATTATTTCACTCTTTTGGATGTTAATATGTAAACCTATGATCACCTCAAACCATCTTAATATTCCTAGTGGTAACTAGGAGCAAGAAGTTAGGGGGGCTTGGGATTGGGAATATTAGGAAAAGGAACATGGCATTGTTGGGGAAATGGTTGTGGAGGTTTCCATTGGAAAGGGACAAATTGTGGATGAAGATTATGGCTAACATACATGGGTTGGATGAGAACGACTGGGATCCAGGAATTTTGGCAAGGGCTACTGCTGTTTCCCTGTGGAAAGCCATTCATGATCTGCTTCCAATTTTCTCCCCTTGGATTAGGTATGATCGAATAAATTTTTGGGAGCAAATTTGGGTTGGGGACTTACCCCTGAGAGACCAATTTCCCTCTTTGTTTGCTTTGTTAGGTTTGAAAAATGAACCCATATCCTCTTTCTTAGTTCCTTTTGATTATTCTTCTGGGTTTGGGTGGAATCTGGGCCTGAGAAGGGCAATTAGGGATACAGATTTGGGTTGTATTTCATCTTTGCTAGCCATCCCTGAAAATGTTTTCTTGAACCCTAGTAAGGAAGACACCAGAGTCTGGACCCCTTCCTCCTCCGACTCCTTTTCTTGTGCTTCGTTTTTTGAGACCTTAGTTTAGCCTACTATTCCTCCTGAGTTGCCCTTCCCTATTAAATAGATTTGGAGTAAACCCATTCCTCCTCGGGTTTGTAGTTTTTGTTAGGAAATTTCCTTGGAAAGAATTAACACAAATGACTTGCTTCAAAGTAAGAGGCCCGATTGTTGTTTACTTCCCAATAGGTGTAATCTTTGCAAAGCTGATGGGGAAATGGGTTACCACATTATGGTTACTAAAACTGTTTGGGAGTGGGTGTTTTCCCTTTTTGGGTGTACTTGGAATCCCCCCGTGAATGTGCAATGCTTGTTCTCTCCCTCGTTCTTTAGATGGCCTAAGAAAAGGGGGAAGGTTATGTGGAGAGGCATTAGGGCTGCAGTGTGCTGGTCAATATGGGAAGAGGGAAACTCATGAATATTTTCAGACAAGGAAAGAACCATAAAAAACTTAATAGAGTTGATACACTTAAGGGTAGCTCACTGGCTGAATTCTATGGAGATATTCTTTGAATTTTCTGTGGCTGACTTATTGAGAAAGTGGAAAGAGGTAGCTACCTCTGCTCCTTGTAAGAGGACCTATAGACCCTCTTGGACCCCTGCTCCTGCTGGATTCATAAAACTGAATTTTGATGGAAGTAGCTTAAGGAATCCAGGGCCTTCTAGGATTGGGGGTGTGTTTAGGAATGAGGGGATTATTATTGCCATGTTCTCAGGACCAATTGAAGAGGGTAACTCTCTTAGGGCCGAGATTCTAGCACTTCTTGATGGAATCCACAAAGCAAGAGAATTAAGCATCAGATGCTTAGTTATTGAAAGGGACTCAGAGGTGGTGATTAGGTGGCTGAAAGGAGATAACAGTGGTTTGTGGTGCTACAGCAATGAAAAGAAAAAATTTAAATGGCTAAGGATATAGAGGTGAAGTACAGTTGGGTGAAGAGAAGTGCTAACTCAATGGCTGATTGGTTAGCTAAGCAAGGGGTGACTAAGGAATCTTTGTTTTGGGCTAATTTTTAGTTTGTTCTTTGTCCTTTTGTTTTTGGGCAGTTAAGATAGTTTACCTCCCCCTTTTCTGTAATTAAAGTTTCACAAATATTATTCATTAATAAAGTTCTGTTATTGATCAAAAAAAAATATTGCTTTTGCATTCCAGATTTGCTTCCAGGAAGCGGCACAGAAAAAAGAGTGTCGTCTGCAAATTGGAGCATAGCAATCTCCACTTCCCCATTCTCTACTTTGAAACCTTCCACTAGCCCTCCCAGTCTAGCCCTCTCTACAAGCCTAGAAAGGGCTTCTATCACACAAACAAACAAACAAACTTGCCTGTGGGCCGTGGTATCTGATGGGACATTGGCCTCCCTCCCGCTACAGCTCGCTGTACATTCCTTTAGCTATAGGCGTGTCCAATCTGAGTTTAGTCCATTCCACATAGTGCAAGGAAGCTCAGTGGGGTTTCATACGAGGGTCCTRCGTACTGTGCCATCGCCCAACCAGTACAGTACGGCCATCTCTGCTATGGTCAACAAGCGATAAAAACAAGAAACGGATGAGCGTGTATAAAAAAAAAATATTGCTTTTGCATTCCAGAATTGCTCCCAGGAAGCGTTCACTGCAAAAAGAGTGTCGTCTGCAAATTGGAGCAGAGCAATCTCCACTTCCCCATTCTCTACTTTGAAACCTTCCACTAGCCCTCCCAGTCTAGCCCTCTCTACAAGCCTAGAAAGGGCTTCTATCACACAGATAAACAAGAGTGGGGAGAGGGGGACCCCTTGTCTTAGTCCCCTAGAACTCTGAAGCTGCCCAAAAGAACTCCCATTTACCAGCACTGAAAAAGATGAGGAAGAAAGGCACACTTTTGTCCAATTTCTCCATTTCTCGCTGAAGTTCATCATCTTTAACATGTATTCCAAGAATTTTCAATTCACATGGTCATAAGCTTTCTCCATATTTGCTTTACACAGCAGCCCCATAAGACCACTTTTTCTCCTTGAATCTATTATCTCCATGGTTTAAAGTATCGATACGATACACCCAATACGGGCGTATTGTATAGTATCTTTTGAAAACGATACGCTCCGAAATGCCTGTTTCCAGGTGTTTCGGAACCCCAACTTTTTTAATAAAAAGGCCTGTTTTTAGGTTTCCGAAAAACCAAAATTGAAAAAAAAAAACTAAAAATAAAGAGTTTCGGGCGTTTCTAAGTACCGATACGATACTGCCGATATGCGTATCGTATCGATACTTGGAACCTTGATTATCTCGTTTGCAATGAGCATCTGTCCACAATCAATCTACCTCCAATGAATGCACTTTGAGATTCAGCAATCAGGCTTGATACCACCTTTGCCATTCTATTTGCCAAAAGTTTTGCTAGTATCTTGTAGAAGCTACTCACTAGACTGATGGGTCTAAARTCACTCAACTTCACTGCCCCTTCTTTTTGGGGATTAAAGTGATAAATGTGTGATTTAAGCTTCTTTCAAGAGCATCCTTTTCATGAAACCCCCTTAATGCGTTCATTACATCTTGTTTCACTATTCCCCAACATTTCTTATAGAATAGCAGTGTGAACCCATCAGGCCCCAGGGCCTTATCCCCCTCTCTAACTCTTATCACTTCCCAAACTTCTTCCTCAGAAAAAGGCTTCTCCATATCTCTAGCTTGTTCAGTTGACAGAGATTTGAATTGCAGGCCATCTAAAACAGGTCTAGTCCTCCAAACTTCAACTTCTTTATAAAGTTTCTCATAATACTCAGCAATGTTTCTTTTAATCTGTCCTTCCTCTATTTCAACCCCCTGAACCTCGATTTTTTTTAATGTATTTTCCCTTCTTCTAGCACTTGCCATTTTATGGAAAAATTTTGTGTTATTTTCTCCATCCTTTAGCCATAGACACCTTGATCTCTACCTCCTTTTGATCTCATCTTGATAGGCTAGTTTATCAAACTCCTTTTTTCCATGTCTCTTCTTTTTCTTTCTGCCCCACTTATGGTCCATTTGGTTGCCGAGAAATAATGGGATGAAAAGGGATGTGAAGAGAAAGGAATTTTTTTTTCTCATTTTTGGCACCCTGTGTTTGTTTGCTGAGAGCCATTATCCTATATAATATGCTTTCCAGTGTTTGGTTGATGAGAAAATTTTGCAGGATGCTTGGTTTCATTCCAATTTGATAAATCTATGCATCTCCAACTCCACAACACAACCCTTATTTATGGGGTGACATGGCATAGTAATAATTGAATTTTGCCACGTGACATGCTGACATGGTGATATTAAAAAATCATGAACATTGAAAATATTGAATTTTCCATGCTGCATCATCCACTAGTTCAAGTTGATGGGCATGGTATTTGTCTAAGTAAGATTTTAGAACTCTATTAAAGATGAATTTCTGTATTCTGAATCAAATATTTTAGCTTGGGGTTTCATTCATTAACATATATCATATCTACCAAACTTTTTTTGGGATTATTTCCTATCTATAAAACACTTGACTTATTTCAGTAGAAAGGGGGAAACTAACTTGTAAAGTGTTTCATGTATAGAGTGAAAGATGTTTCACAGAGACGTCTCTGTAATATATACGTTTAGTGATCAACGTTTTTCTATTAGTAAAAGAATCCCAAGAAAAAAATTAACAAATAATAATATATTCATAAATCAATACTTCAGCAAAAATCGAAAGGTAGGAGAATGTAGGAAGGGTTTGACACCTTCAAAGTTGCAGAGGATACAAGGGAGAAGCAAGATCTGGAGTTGTTCTCACTGCCTCCGATCTTCACCCCAACGAGAAAACATATAAAAATAAAAAAGTAAAAAGAATAATTGGGACCTGTTTTAACAGATCTGAGGGAAGAGAAACATATATCATGGGAAAAACAGATCTGAGGGAAGAAAACTCTTACCTTGACGTGTTTTAACGGGAAGGTTTGAACCCAGAAAAAAGGCACAAACACCTTGACACATTTTAACGGGAACGTCAATCTTCCTTCTCCCCTTTGGCCGGGATCACAGCTAATGGCTGCAACTCCTCTCCATTATTGGTTTTGTCAGTGGTCTCACTCAGAATGACCAGATCTCCTCGTCGATCTTCCTTCTTCCCACTATCGCCTGGCATTTCCCTATCTGCTTCCACCATTTTACCTCCTACCCCTGAGTCTTCCTTACTTTTTTGAGTCTCTGGTACACCCACCCCGATCTCTGCAGGTGAGTTAATAAGCTTTTTCTTGGTTCAAAGACCTGGCTGGGCTGCAGTCCACCCGACGACTCAGCCTGCCTGGGTTCAGAGTACATGTTACTTTTGGGGCCTCCTCGTTGTAGGCCTCCTGCATGTTTGGTAGTGGGCTTGACATTATCGGCCCACTAACCTCTTCTAGCCCACGTGGAGCCAGCTCCAAGCCCTCATTAGGCATGAGATCAGCCTCATGGGAGAGTCTCATGAAAGATCTGGAACGTCTTCTTCAATGTTGACATCTGGATCTACTTCTCCCTCTCCAACGGCTGAGATTGCTCCAACTCTCCTCTATCCTTCGGCGACACCTCTCAACAATTTTGTCACAAAGAGCTTCCCAATTTGAGTGGATTGGAAGATATTCTTGTTTTTTGTATCTTGATTCCATTAATCCTATTTTGTGGTAGTCCTTGATCTGAATCTGGTTTTGTTGGACTAACAGAAGAATTTCCAATTGAGCCCTTCTCTATGGATCTTGTTGTTTATATTTCAAGAACGCTTGAACCTGCTGATCAGTTGCTTGAGGAGATATTCAGAGTGTTGAAACCTGATGGAATGATTGTAGTTCAGATTTCTCAGCCTGCTGCAGAAAACAATGATAAGGTAAAAAAAATTTGTCAGTTCAACCTTGGTGGAAGATCAATTTTGGGGAGATCTCTTAAAGTAAACAAATTGACTTTTTCTTGCAGCCAAGCAGTACATTAGAACGCAAGTTACTGTTTTCTGGATTCCTGGAAGCACAAGTTGTTCAATTGAAACCATTCCTGCAGCAAGAAGATATTCAACCACTTACAGTTAGTTCTGTTTCTTACCTGCCTTTTTATCCATTTTTTTTATGTGCAAACACAGGTGAAATTAGACTTGTGCTTCCATCATATAGATGGAACTGATTCTCAATGGGACTCACCATTAACGGGTGACTATTAAAATGTCCCTGGTTTACTTGTGGCATTTTGTCTGAACATGCACAAGAATGTATTGAGAAGCATCCGGGTTGTGTTTGATTCCATTGCTGTTTCTACCTGAAATGATTTGAGTTGATCAATACAAATTCGTGAGGGATGTGACATGTTGTATGCCTCCTCCACACATGAACTTTTAAGGTCTGCCTGTTTCAACCATAAACTTCGTCAGAAACAGTTGTATGCCATTTATATTGATCAATCAAAAAGTTTTCAGGTAGAAACAGCAATAGTACCAGATACAACCTTGATCATCCCTGTTTTATCTTGTGCATGGTTCTCTAGGATGGGAACAATCAATCCATGGTTCCCGAATCACTGATCCAAGCGAACAGAGGCATTTTGTGATTTTTTTTTTCTCTTCTGAGGATTCTTAATCTCTGACAGGTTTCACTTTGATGTATTTCTAATGTTTAACAGATAAAGGCTAAGAAGCCTTCTTGGAAAATTGGTTCATCATTTTCGATCAAGAAAGTGACAAAAAGTTTGCCTAAAATCCAAATTGATGATGATTTAGATCTTATTGATGAAGATAGCCTTTTGACAGAAGATGACCTGAAGAAACCACAACTGCCACCTGGTAAGATAAATTAGACCAATGTATGGTCATTTAGAAGTTTAATTATGCTCAAATCAATTATTCATGTACAGTTGGCGACTGTGAAGTTGGAAGCACTAGGAAAGCTTGCAAAAATTGCACTTGTGGGCGGGCTGAGGCAGAGGAGAAGGTGCAGAAGTTGGGTTTGACTGCAGACCAGATTAACCCTCAATCTGCATGTGGCAATGTAAGTGTTAGAATTGTTTCTTGGAATTTTTGTCTTTATTTAATGGCAGTCTCCAAATCCTTGGTCTGGAGAGCTTTTCTAGTATTGGGTCTCATTTTGGCTATTCATGCAAGTCTATTATCCATGCTTTTATAAGGGGAACAACATTAGTACTGCAAATGGTGTCTGAATTTTAAATTGAATTTGATGCGGTTAAAGGGTTTTTTTTTGGTAATCTGATGTGGTTAAAGGGTGATATGAATTCTATCTGTTTATAATTGGATCTAATGTGGATCAATCTGTCTGTTTTGGTATATGTACTATATACACATAAAATTTATATACTCAGTAAAATTGGTTTGAATATTGTGTTTTACTACCCCCTTCACACATTTTCAATCTAAATTTACCTTCCACAAAACTGGATTATTTCTAATGAAATCCTACAGGAAACATTACCAAATGGTGCCTATCTTCATGCTTTCATCTACTATGAAGTGGTGTTGTACTTTATTTCGTTACTGCCACAGCTAATGTGATTAACCACGTGGCAATGATGATCTATGAATAGATTAATTTCTGGCTTCTAGATTCCAAGTTGGGTAGGATTTTGGCCTCGCAGTTGTCCTAGTGCTAGATAAAAATAATAAAATTTTCAGTCATCCTGCATTTTGTCTTGGAAGGTTACCTACCTGTACAAGTGTCATTTAGTTGGATATTCTTCATGGGTTAGTAGATGAAGAACCATTATTTTAATTGATTTGGGCTTTATTTCTTTCCTTTAATGGTTTTGTTATGTCCTGCAGTGCGGACTAGGTGATGCATTCCGGTGCAGTACATGCCCCTATAGGGGTCTCCCTCCATTCGAGTTGGGTGAGAAGGTACGAACTGCTAATAAACCTCCAAGTTTTGATTCCCTTGTATTGTGATAACAAACTTGTACATCTACCAAGTGAGATGCCAATTGAACCTACTGCTTCTGCTGCAGGTATCACTACCTGTGAATTTTCTGGATGCTGACATTTAAACGTTGAGGAACAAGTTATCGGCAGGATCATGTTGTTGAGATGGTTTCTGAGTGTGTACGTGGTGTCAGAATCGGTGTAGTGTCTGGTCTCAGTATATATGTAGTTCTGTCATCATTTGTCTCAAACTTGAAAGGATTCAGGATAATAACCAAGTTCAAGTACCCTGTGAAGATTCCTTGATGCTGTGATGAGCCACCGATATATTAGGAAGAAGAGAAACCAAAATTTTAACCGCAGTTTCTGCATTTTGTGTTGTTTTTTCTAGGCTAACTTCTCATTTTGTGTTTGCTTGTAATGGATTCTTCTTTTAGGGGGGATTAACTCTCTCTAACCAAAGTTTTTTTTAGTATGATCCACTAAGAGGTCACTGCTGGCATTTCATGATGTTTCTTGAATGTCAATTAAAAAAAACACTTGCAATTGTAGGGGGTGTTCAACATTTATATTTTCTCTTATAAAAACACAACAAATATACTTTCAGTTTCAGATATATGTATGCTTTCTTAAAACAAGTGAACCGTTTCATTCGATTGGAAAAATAGTCTGGTTTCTAAAACAGAAAAAAAAAAAGCTCTTAAAACCCAAGAAATGTTTGCACTTTAACACAACACAAGACTCTTGTAGACCCCTATTTGCTTTCAAAGCATGCTTTCCGAGGCAAAACAAAAATACGACATTTGGATAGAATAGATGCCGCGCGTGTGATACCTACTATATTATCTTACATATCGACGCTTGTTTTCTTAATGGCATGTGTACCAGTTCGGATCCGGTAGGCACAATGTTGTAACGTTTAATAAGGATTTCAATTTTTTTGACACCTGTCCCTTAAAATACTTTCACCCCACTCTTGAAAAAGATTAAAATCCATTTTTGACACTTGTCAAAAATATTTATCAAGTGCTGTACGCTATTTGGCTACAACAATTACCAAGTATCGCCGTCACATTGCAAGATCATGCCAAATGGCATTGTTGAAATATACATGTTAGGTTGGTTCGGTCTGGCCTTGTCCGATTAATTTTATATCAGGTTTGGACAAATTTTTAAGCTTGTGGGCTCGGGCATGGGTTCCAAACACTATGCTTGTGAGCCGGATTCGGGCTTTCTCAAATAAGCTTGGTCTGCCTAGCCTGAGCCCAAGTTTGATTTGATGGAGATCAAAAGTCGTGATCCTTGTTAGTAGTGATGAACTAGAGCTTGGGTGCAAACTTTGGTGGAAAATATGCAAAAAGCAGTGTCAGAGGGCTTGGGTACATATCCTGGGCAAGGAATTCTGATGCTTAAGTCAGTAAATGCTGAGTTCTCCAAGATACGATAAAGTGTTTGTGCATGAATCAGTGAGTAAAATATATGTACTGTTTACTCACTGAAATGTGGCAAGAGGGGCAACTTAAGTGGCCGACACGTACAGTTGATGGTTGTGCGTCTGCTGTTTACGGGACACACCCATATGTCATGATAGGTGTCTTTATCCACTTCCCCATGAAGCGGAGGGAGTAGTCTCCAACCGTCATTAGGTGGCTTTTGTGCTCACATACATCTTGGGTTGGTCGTTTCGTGCAGATAGGGAAAAGAAAGAGATCTCCATGTAGGTCGGAGGTGTATTGAGGTCGGAGAGGTCCCTCAAGTTGTGGGCTGCCTGGATCAGATGAGTAGGTCGAAACCATAGTGTAACCAAATCGATCATATGCTCCAGATTTGTAAGCTGAACTAACGAGGTGCCTTTAAGCAAGGTTGGAGTTTACTCGGGCTTCATAAACTGATCTGATGAGGTGCCTTTAAGTGAGGCCTTGCCACATGTATTGCTGAGGTACCATAAAGTTTTCGTCGCCACGTGGTAAGATATAATTGGAGGGAAAGATCGTCCCTCATCAATTGCTTCCCACTTTTGAGCTTGAAGTGAACAGCTCGAGCAAAGGAAATAGTTGGTCTATGGCAATTCTTGTCAGACACTCTGGAGTTAAGTTTCTGACAGGTCGTGAATTCATGCAAGTTTGGTTTGCCAATTCAGGATCGTCTAATAGAGATCACATTGCTTTATGCACAAACTTCCCGTGGACATTAACTATCATGGATGCCAAAAAACATGCTAAATTGATTTCGAACCTTGGATCAAAAGGATTTCAACCATCGATGACCCACAATTCTTGCCTATGAATAGCAAAACTAGAGGATCCATTTTCACTTGTCCATTGTGAAGGTGCCCTCTAGAGAGGTTGGAGAGTTCAGTATGCGTTTGAGGAGTCCAGTTAGAGCCAGGTCGGTCGGTCTAGTCTTTTGGTTTTCTTGGGTGTCTTCCTTTCTTTTCTTTTTCAATTCAGTATGTCTAGTTCCTTTAAGTCCAAGGGAGAGGAGTAAGTCGTCACTCCAGTTGGGGAAGGGTCTTTGGTCCAGGAGCGCCAAGGTTCCCATAAAGGGACTTGTCTTTGAGGAAGAAGTCCAAATACGACCCAACTCGGCTAACACTTGCCAACCTCGAACAAATAAGAGACTAGTACCATTTATCTGAGGGTTTCAGGTTCATCCTCCTTGGCCCTAACCAACAACCGTGGGATCACAAGGACAAGGAGGTCTGTGTGTACGAACAGTCTTTTATGGTTGGCCTTAGGTTTCCCCTTCACTTCTTTGTGTTTAAGGTCCTCAATTACTATGACATCACCCTAAGTTAGCTTCATCCGAACTCAATGAGGGTATTGATTGACACATCTCAGTCTTCCATCAAATTAAGTTCCCCTTGAGCATCAAGTCATTTGGGGGGATCTATTAGATAAAGAAGCTATCCTGTGAGGATGGATTTTTCGACTTACCTTGTCACTCTAAGCACATGCTATTAGATGGCCTCCCCTCCAAGATACTAGACTAGAAGAGAAAGCTCTATTACGTCAAGACTGAAGGAGGGTGGCCCTATACTTCAAAGTGGAGAGTGGCCATATCTAACTAGGGTGACGAGGCCCTATCTAAGCCTGAGAAGGCACTGGTAAAAGACCTAGTCAGTAAGAAGTTACAAGTTGGGGATTATTTAGCCGAGGAGTACTAGTCTATGCTAGCTTGAGTCCACTGGGTAGGTCGCCTTTATAAGACACTTGATTTATTGTTGTCTTACATGAGATTGTTGTCTGACGTGATTTGTTCGTTGTAGGAGAGATGTCAAACGTCGATACTGCCAAGGTCTTCTTTGCCCTCTAGGAGAAGAGGAAAATTGTGAAGGTTAGGGCCTCCTAAATAGCGGGCGGTGAGCTAAGGATGGCTAAGCGGGGTGCCCGTTCCCCAGAGGTGGTGCACATTAACATGGACAATGTCAAGATGATGAGATTGAAGGAGGTAACTAGGACAGAGCACATAGAGTCCACTAATGCGACAATTCCCCTTGCCGATTAGGTCCCTAGCACAGAAGTGGTTGGCTTCTCGAGGACCCAGGTTCCTAGAGTAGGAAAAGCATAGCAGCAAGCCTCTAAGCTGGCACCACTATACAATCTCCATTGGTCAGTGCGGGTAAATGAGAAGGTCAAGGATGCATGAATGGAGTTTGAGCTGAGCAGGGGGTCTTTTTCCCCTAGGACGCAATGGAAATGGGGAGCCAGACTCTTCTTATGCTTGGTGGTCGATTATTTTGGCACCTTATGATGGAAAGTAGTTAGCTTCAAGTCAATGCCTTGTCATAGGTGTTAATGGGAAAGGTTGAGATGTATGCCCACCGATACGAGGCCATGAAGAAGGAAGTGAAGGGTGCCCGAGGAAAGTTAGAGGTGGCCAAGGTGGAAGTTGACACCCAAAAGGCCAAGGTGGGAGCCCTCTAAACCAAGGCGAAGAAGGCCAGACTGTTAGAGAAGTTGGATGGCATGGAGAAGAACACTATTGTGCTCCTTAGTGATCTAGAGCAAAAAGAAGTAGAGCTACCTGAGTAGAGGACCAAGCATGCCAAGGAGATAAGGGCCATCAAGGTGAAGGCTATGGAGAAGTACATTGTTTTGCTCGGGTTCCAACTTGACAGGAAAGAGTATGGCTCCGTCTCCATGAGCAAGGACTTCAAGATCTACCATCAACTCGTGGTTGAACTATTCCTAGAGTGACTTGGGGAAATTGAAACTATTGGCCATTACTAAGGAGATACTAAAGAAGGCCTATAAGGGCAAGGACTCTAGGATGGAGGAAGAAGACTTAGGAGACAAAGTCCCCCCCCCCCCCCAATGATGTTTGAACTTTGCCTCTTTTCTTGGAGTTTGTTTATAAAATTGATTATCCTAGGCCTCCGTGCTTAGCTTTTCTCTTTTTGACTTTTCTTTTGTCTTTTTTGCAATGTAAAAATTGAATAAGGAAATGAAGTGATCTCTTCCATTTTGTTCATTAATCTGTGTAAGTCGAGCTTATTTTTCCCAAGTAACCTGCGCATCAATCCAGAATGGCCTAGTTCAAGTTGACTCTCGACCAACACTGTACAAAGAGAAGTCACATAAGTTCAGGACAAGTTGTCCCGATCTGGGGTAGCTCAGTAGTTCAGTTTCACCCACCAAGCTATCGAAACAAACTAAAGCCAAGTTTTCCATTCCAGTGTCAGCTAAAAGCAGGACAAGTTTCCAAGCTCGTAAGGGTGAGCCAAGTTAAGTGAAATAAATCAAATCAGATAAAGTGAAGTAAATTGAGGTGGCAAAACAACTTGAAACTTTATTTAGTAATGTAAGTATAACCATTGGTAGTACAATTTGAGGTTCTCAACATTCCAATTGTGGGTGATGAGGGGCATTTTGGTCAACCTACATAACAGCAGACACGTGGACGTTGTCAACAACACAGTGTCCAACTTAGCAAGACAACTCACCAGTTCGGCACGTGATGGTCTACAATAGGTGCGCGGCCGAGCTGAGGCGAGCTCGGCCCACCGACAATGACAGCTCGCCTTGAAACCATCCCGCACGCCATGTCTATTCTAACACCGTTACCACAACTTCAAGAATAGCTCACCGGACCATGCGCCACAAGACCGTGGGTGATCTATAACCACCACGCGAATCTAGTAACTGACTGACCAGCATACCCCAAACTGCGAAAACAGCTCCACAAAAGACTCAGAGACATTGCCTAATGACAACTAAACCTCAGATAGCTATAAAAGGACCACAGGATCACTCAATAAGGTATGCACACTGAAGCTCTTGAACTCTCTCAAAGATTTTCTCTAAATCTCCTTTCTGACTTAAGCATCAGAGTGTTTTCCTGGGTAAAAAATACCCAAGCACTCTAAACTATCTTTCTTTATAGCATCTTTCAGCTCGAACTCCCAACTCGGCATCACAACTCAGCATTGTCATGATTGGACTCAGTTCGAGCCACCTCATCAGACACGAGGGAGTGAGTGAACTGTGCATCATCAGCAGGGTACCAAACTCCCCTCTAGAGTTTCGAACTGGTAGGTCCCAAGT